CGGGGGAGAGCGCGCTCCGGGCGCTGGTGCAGGGCGGATGCGCGCACGGGGAGGGGGCAGAAAGCAGCCGGGAGCACAGCACGCCCTTCCCCAAGCAGCCCGAGAGCATCTGACTTGTCCCAGCTCCAGCTTAGCTGCTGCCTTCCCTCGCCCAGCTGGCCTTGGCCAGAAGTGCCCCCTCACCTTCCTAGTTTATCCACTCAGTTGCTTTTCTGCCTTGTTTTGTTTGTTTGGAAAGAGCCAAGGGGGTGGTCAGTGCTCACTTCAGGCCAAGCTGCTTCTAGCTCATGGATGGTGGTGGTAGGGGGGTGGGAATAAAAACCACTGGAGGGGCCTTCCAGCCCCTGGCTTATGCCATGAGTTGAAGCATCCATGCCCCCCTGCATCTGCGCAAGGCCTCGTGGCGATGAAGCCTGGGGCTTTTGCACGCGGAAGGCGAAAGATGTTTGGTTTTCCGCCCATGCTGGAAAGTTTCTCCAGTCGTGACCTTCTAACACCTTAATCGCCCTGGGAGATATCACTTCAGGAAGTGTATCCCTTCATCTTTTCCAGTTGGTTTGATTTTCCCCTGAAAGTGTGCGGAACACATTTGCAAGGCTACCGACTATGCATTGACATCCTGAAACAAAACAGGCTTAAGGAAGGGGGGAAAATATATATGATTTTCTCTATGGCATGGGCTGAGGGCTGATGCATATTTGTCTTTCTGTAGCATGACGTGAAAAGAAAAAAAATCAGTGGACCCGCTTGGCAGAGGTTTCATTTAGCCACTTTGACTTACAAAATGATGTGCATAGTGGTTTAGTTTTGTGGGTGTGGGTATAAATTAAGCCCAATTATAATGATATAAGGATGCATATTTTGGTATTTCTGGTGACACTGTAAATCGTGGAAGCAGAGATTTGTAAATGATGCCAGAACCCTGAGATAAAAATACAGTGTTATAATACACCCGTAGTTTGTTATCGCTCGTTACTTCAGAAGCAGCCAGAGGAATAGATACCAATGTCAAGTTTTGAGTCCTTTAGTAATTTGACATCTCTGTCTTTTTCAGTGCACTTTTGCTTGCATTTCTCAGTTTATTTTATTGATACGATCTTGTACATATGTATTCCTCCCCCCCCCCCCCCCCCATTTTTCCTTGCAAAAAAGACAAATCTGGGCACATTTGGAGATAGGTGCTGAAATCCCTTTGGTTTATATAAATCTAATATTAAGATTATTATCTGTATAAAAAAACAGTAACGGTATTTTTCAGCTGTAAAAGCCTGCAATTAATAAGACTGCATCCAGCATCACTGTGATACCTTTCTATAGATGTTTGTGCATATAAGTAACCAAACGAAGGGCGAGAGATCCTACAGATGTTTACTAGAAAACAACTGGTTTTTACAGTGATAAATTTGGACAATTGCATATTTTCTAAGCACGTTCTGCATACAAGTAAATGTTCTTTACAATCATTATTCTATAGTAACAGCAAATATTTGCAACATCACAGTGAGATATTTCATGCCAGTTTTAGTTTACTATCTTTCAGAAAGTGTGGAGTTCTTTGGCATTGATGAAACTGCTGCACATACCCATCATATATTCAAGTATTCAGTGAAGTTTTAAATAATTCTCTTTCAATTAGTACAACAGGAACCTGAAAAAATGGATTTTCTCTTAAAGGAACAAGAATCAGTACATGCAGTTTTCTTCCCTCCCCTTGTATGTTTTAAAATCCTTATACCATTTTATGGTCTCATGCACAGAACAGTTTTGTTTTGTGTTCCTAAATTTAAAAAAAAATCAGGTTGAAAAACACGGGGTTTTTTTTGGGAATGACTATACTATAAAAGTCTTTTCATCAAGTTTCTGTAGAGGTTTGTAAATGTGAGTGGATAATTAAAAATGGGGTACATTAGTGACTTGGTTAATCAGAGTAATTAATTTATAAGACAGACTACTATATATCAATTGATGTTTTTGAAGTCAGGCAAAACATTCCATCAAGTTAATGTGTTTAAGAGTATCATATCAGGCACAGACAGGTACTAGAAGTGATAAAAAGCAGATAACCCGAAACAAGATGATTTACAGATGGGTCATTCTCTAGTATTGTGGGGTTAAAAAGATCATATTCTTCATAGGAACAGAATGTAGTTCTATAGACTTAGCAGAATTATCGAGGCAAATCTCAATATTGAATGTTTTCAGAAAGATGGGTAGAATTTGTCAAAGCTAGCAAGTGTCTATGCAAACATCGCTAGCCCTTGGTAGGCAGTGTACTATATTGATGTAAGGAAACATATTAGCATATAGTTAAAATACTTTCTATGATAAAGATCCATTAAATTACTATGTTAATAACAGTGATTTTTATATTCTATATAATTTAAACTTTAAATGTTCATAAGAACCCTCATAAGGCATCAGTGTAATTTACTATACTTTGAGATTGTAACATCTTT